TCTGTATGTGGACATACTGGAGACCAAGTACCTAGGAAAGTCATGTTAGGATGGGATGATACCAGCTCTGTAGACAGACCAGCTGCTGAAGCATTAGTAATAGTGTATGTTAAGAAATCCTGATCCATCTGTTTTATTTTGAGTAATGCTAGTAAGAACATAGCTTGAACTTCCACTGGACATGTCCCTGAGGGATTGGGATGATGGCCTGGGATGTGAAAAGGCCTAGTTTACATGACTCTTCTGTTTGATTTTGAAGAAAATTTCTACTCTGAATTAGGAAGGTTGGGGTTTGCACCACAGTCTCTGTTTCTGCCTGACTCTGAGCTGAGATATGCTTTCTAGATAGTGCTAAATCTGTTACCTGAAACTGCCTCTTGAACCTTAAACTTGCATATCCTCAGTTGACACCAGCACTGCCATGATAGCATGCGTCACTTCCAAAAAAAAAACCAAAACACTCTCTGGTGAACATTTTGCAAAAATTTCTATGGATACCAAGTTTGATGAATTTTTTTTATTTCAGTGGTTTTATTTGTCAGCTGTCTGACCAATATATTCAACATCAGGAGTGGTCTCATGCTTGAGATGATTGCTTTTAAGTATTACAGTTCCACCATGATAGCAGAGAGTAGAATTGAAAATGAAGGTATATATGATGCAAGGACACTGTCCTGGATAAGTGCTAGACTATGGTCAAACTGGCAGAAACATTTCAGCTTCCTAAAAAAGCAGAGAAACCTAGTGCAGGAAATAAAAATATTAGCTTTGGGAAGAAAATATAAAAAAACAGGTTGGGGAAAAATGAAGAGTAAATGGCAGGATTAAATAGGGTCTTATCTTGGCTTCCAAATAAAAATAAAATTAAAAAAAAAAAAAGCACTGAAGATTATAAACTTTGTTTGCTTACTATTAAATTAATTGGATTGATTAAGATAATAAGGAAGATAGATACCTCAGTGTACTCTGTGGTCTCGCTGATCATTGCACACTGTGTGAGATCTTGTTTAAATGACTAGGACTTTTTCTCTAATAAAACTCTCATAACAACATGGATGAACTCTGCCACTTCTCATTATTCTGCAGTTCTACTGATGGACAATTAGCATGTAAACTTAATCCAGATGCTGAAAGCTCTGTGCATTATATTCTAGTTTTATACTGCAAAGAATGATTTTACTATTTGTAAAGTTATTCTTTGTTTAACTTTTTCCTAAAATAATTGGGATTACAGCACTTGCTAAGCACAGAGTATAATGGGAGTATAAATGAAAATGCATGATAAGATAGTATACTATGGTTTGAGTAAATAAATTACAGTATATAATTTTATATTTTTTAAAGATTTTCTTAAAATAAAATAACCTGTCACATCCTGCTCAAACATTTTACCTTTAAGGGGACTGTTCTTGGTGCAATTTAGGTGAAATTCTGGCAATTCAGTCAACCATACCCTTACACTTCAAAGACAAAGGAAATAAATAGGCTACAGTTTATCGTTGTTCATTAGAATCCACAGCAGTTATTCCTTTAAAAATTGTTATTGTTCTACATAGTGCCCTACTTTCAAACTAGAAACTTAAACTAATATAAGTCCTATGGGTTATAGACAGCAGTCATCATGGTTTCATAGGAAGCATTGCTACACTCTTCCAATTACTCCAGATTTGATACTTCAAGTTATATCTTTTTTTCGCATTATAGAAGACTTGTCATGCATTATTTTGCCTCAGAGTAATTTTAATTTATTTCAGTGAACTGATGGCCTGATGGTTCAGTTGCATTATTTTGCCTTCCAGGGAAATTATTTAAGCTGTTAAAAAATAGATCTCCTTTCTGGGTTTCAAAGTGGTGTTAGTTATTCCAGTGGTCCCTTGCTGGGTGATCACCGTGTGATTACTTTTAAACCCAGGACACCGATTTGGTGATATGCAGTGTGGAGGGAGGTTTTCTCATCTTTCTGCACTGTGGGGCTTTGTCACACAATCAGTCCCAGCTCCTCTTCTAGCAGTGACAGTGATGGCAGATGGAGCTCTGAAGTCTGGCAACAGAGGAAGGAAGCACTGTTCAGAGTTCTTGAAAGCTTTTCCTTTCCTTTGGTTGCTCATGCCTGCAGGACATATATAGAATAAATAAATTGTAGGTCAGGTCTTTTAGATGAGAGGAGATCTTCTTTGTACAAATTTATTTTGTGTTTATACAGAAAGTCAGAAATGTATGTACCATGCCTACTTTCCTTTAAGCTGCAGACAAGTGCTTTTAGATACATAGAGAATAATTATTTCTGAAAGGAGCATTTTAGACAACAATTATAATGATGATAGTAATAATAATAATAATGCAGTTTGGAATAGTACAGTGAGGAAAATAACCACAGCACATACATGTAGGCTGTTCTGTATGCAAAGAGACAATTCAGGAATCTAACCAGAAGTTGACTAGGCTGAGGATAGAACTGAAGTGGTAATACAGTTAAAAATTGTAATTTACTATAGCTATTAAAAAGTGCATTCAGCACATGTTGTACAGAAGCATGCTTGCCTCTGAGAGCAGTCACAACACTGGTGCTTCCATCTGGGGCTCTGCATTTCATCAGTGGTAATTTCCCCCTCTCACTAAGCATTGTCATAAACATTCGTTGTCTCTGAGTTGTATCCTCTCTAAGCATGGTTAGAGTACTGTAGGAGAACCAGCAAATTCTCCTCTTCCACTTTGCATCAGTAGTTCCACTGAACCAAATTGTTCTCCCAACTTCTTTCTGTATTATCCGTCAGTGTGTTTCCATAAGTTAGAGTACAGCACAGAGGGTACAGTACGTAAGTCTGTATGCACAGCTGCTGCCTGTATGACTGGATCTGCCTTCTTCACTGTGAGAATTTTTGTATGGATCTCAGACAATAAAATAGGTTAGTGGCTAAATTGATGTAGCCAGTTACTTACTGTCCTAGGAATTCATATTCATTGGGTGCTTGTAAGACATCTATGGGTCTTTGTTGGATACTTTGGGAATTTTCAGCTCCTTGTAAAATTTGACCAAGTCACAGTTCCTTTATTAACTTGATGGAATGATGTTCTGCAGAGATGAAAAGTTTTGATGCTATAAATGGCAGGGGAGAGATGGACGAACAGACGGACGGAAGGAAGGAAGGAAGGAAGGAAGATGGAGGAAAATAGAGGAGCAAGCGTAGTAGTTGTGCATGTCCTCAAGGATGAAGGCATCCAGTTTAACCATGAAATAAAGGAGGAAAATAACTAAAACAGCATTCAAAAGGTTAAGGATGTTATTATATTTAGGTAAAATAGCCTTAAGCATCCTCACAGAAATAACACTATTTAGCTTTCACCATGTATGTATGTCATCTGTAGGCACTAGTGCCTTAATGCTGGTGAAACTGCATGCTTGAAAGAACTCATAATTACAAATCAAGAGTCTCTTTTTGGCAGCATTCCTCCATTTCAAAGCAGTTGTCACTTTTGGTATCCAAAACCTTCAGAAAGTGAGTCTGGATATGAAGTTTATTATTCTACTGTAAAAAAAAAATAAAATACTAAAAATAGTAAAAATCATAAAATCAAGAAATCAGTGAGATGGCTAGTTTATTTCACATTATATGATTTTCTTCATAGTATCTCTTTTGCTAACCCTTGTGACTCCACAGGGGATAATAGTCTGTCCCTCTCTCTCTACTCAGTAGAGGCTACTGACCTTATCACCTCTCTCCTTACTAACAGCTCCCTCAGCTTCATAGATGTTAACTATCCGTTTCTCTCAGACAGTCACAGTGATTAACAATAATGAAACTGAACTGAGAGCAATTTCTGTACTTTGCTTGAAGTATGTTACTTCCATTTCAGATATGAAAAGGAATTTATATGTCTGAGAACTTTTATGGAGTTTTGTTTGATTATATCAGACTTGACCTAATAAATTATATTGCTTCTTGTTACAAGCCTTGACTTTATAGAATATATTTGCAGAAGTCATGTGCAATATGTAGGTAAGTCTGTCCTACTACAGCAAACCATCATGAGACTGAAGAAATTATTAGCACAGAAAGATTAATCTCCCAAGGAATGTACATACAACTCACCCAAGTAGAGGCATACTAAGTTCATTAGTTGAGACTAATTAAAGCTTAATCTTCTAGTAACAGAGAGCATATGAACAAATGCATTTAATACAGTAGATACTTTGACTATAGCTAAATATTACATAGAAAAGAAATTAATTCAGTAAGAATAACTTCTTCCATCCAGAGAATCTCTGAAGGCCACTGTAAACTGAGTGAACTACCATAAAATACAAATTCAAAGGTAAATAAAAATCTGAGAGTGGGATGTGGAGAAAGAAACTTAGAACAATGAGTCAAAGGGAAATTTTCCTATGCATTAGGTATATTGATTTGAGATAGATATTTTTGGAAGAGGTTGAAAAGCCTGTGGGTGCTTCCATCATGCCTCTGTTAGATGAATGTGTACATTTTTACAAGATACATACAGAGGCATACTCATGTGCATGCTACACTTGCCATAAACACCCCTACTGCCTGATTCATATATCAAAAGAAGATAACAGAAATCACTCAAACCTGAAATGAGGGCAGGGAAGACAGCTTACAGAAGGAGGGATTTTGTGCAGTTTGGATACAGAATGTGGTAAATGATGTGGCCATGTCTGTGACTATGGAGCCATCCAGAAATATCGAGTCTTGAAATTCAAGATGCCTTTCAAAACTTTACTCATCAAGAATGATTAGTGAGAGACTCTGCCTGTCCAAATAGATCAATGTTTCCACAGACACCTAAAACTAAATGAAATTAGAATGGAAAAGTTTATTCAAATTCTATATTTCACGTGATCATTACTGCACAAATTTCTTAAAACATTAAGAAATATTTCATATTTGGTGTTTTTATGAAGCTTAAAAAATTAGCAGGTTAGTGAACAACTTTCTGTATCTCATCAAAATGAATATTTATTTTCTGTGCTATTATTGCAGGTGATTATGTAGTCATGACTATATACTTCGACTTAAGTAGAAGAATGGGATACTTCACTATTCAAACATACATTCCCTGTATATTAACAGTTGTTCTTTCCTGGGTATCCTTTTGGATTAAAAAAGATGCCACACCAGCAAGAACAGCATTAGGTAAGTTGTTAATAATTCCCTTTCCTGCTCTTTTTGTGCAGTTCCTACACTGTCATTTGAAAATATCAGCTTCCTTTCAAAGACACCACTGGCTATATCCTTTGGATTATTGCTAACACATCTTGCAAACCCAGAGCTACTTACCACTGAAGCCTCTGTTTTTTTGCCTTTAATAGGGTAATTAAAAATGAACTATTATGACCTTTTGGAATGACACTAGCATAATATTCTAGAATTAATGTCTGTCTTCTTGTTCTCACTATGATGTTTTAGTGACATTTTTGAAGAATAAATTAATGCACTGCTGGTTTCCTTCCCTTCTGAAACTCTTCCCCACAGGGCATTATGTCTTATATATATAAAACTGTGGCATATAATAATATTAACTCAAGCAAAGTGTTACAGCTTGTGTTCTTGAAGTTAAGCTTCATGCTAGGTGTATAGATATTTTTCATAGACTGTGGAGATTTATGCTGGTATAGGTTTTCCAGCAGCTGATATATGTCAGGACAAATGAGTGCATTTTGGCATTATACTTTAGGATGCATTTAAAAATGTTGACCATTTATTCTTATGCCTATAGGAAAACCTGTAGGTTTTGACAGCATCAAGGGCATAGAGCTATATAATAGACATACAGCAGAACCAAAGGAAAACTAACATTTTAGTCGAGATTGTGGTTGCCAGGGCTGCCAATAATAATTAAATCAGAAAGCTACCAGTCTAAGAAAAAGGGGAAACTATGTCAAGGTTTATATGTCTGTTTTCAAGTGTAGAGGTTACCATTCCCAGCTGTTCTTTCCTCATTCCTGCGGGAGTTTGTTACCATCTCCAGTTAACCAGCTAGACTTTCTAAATCATTTCAGTTCTAAATAACGTATTATTAAAAACTGACCTGCCTAACTTTTTGGACTGAAATCAGACAGGAAGCATTTGTAGGAGCAAATGTGTCTCCAGGTTTGAAAGGGTGATACTGCTGCAAGGAATGACTGGAGGACAAGGGCTGTGAACAGGCTATACCTCTTCAGAGGCAGCCTGCAGCAAGCACAATGTTCTCAAGTGCTGCTGTGTGCCAACAAGCCTTCATTCAACTACAGTATAGGAGAGGCCATATGTACAAAACACCTCTATTTCCCGCTCCCCTATACAGCTGATCAAGAGTCATCAGTATTCCTCATCCTTTTTCATCCAAGTAACTAAGCATTTTCTAGAAATGGTAGTTACTTATATCTGAATCCATTTCTCTTAAATGCCTTTCAAACACCATGTAGAGGTGCTCTACTTGATCTCAGGAGGAAGAAGGCATCTTGTTTGACAACACAGCCTTTATATAGTTGTACAAAATTACTTGTCCAATTTCTGTCTGTCCCTCTCCTGCACTAATAAATCTTAGCAACCACCCTTTCTGAGGGTGCTGTGGTTTCTACCATAAAGCTCCTGAAGGCCCTGAAGGGGAAAAGAAAAGTTAAGTGCTAAAAACCCCTCTAAACTCCATTCACTCTGATTGAGATTTTAGTGGCTAAGTTTCTTGAACTTGTCTGGAAGTCTCATCCCTTTTTCTAAGTTTTTCACTCATGCAAAAATCATGCAATCATCTATTCAGGGTGCACTAAGGCCCTGGTTACAAACATTCTTCCTCCTGCAACTCCTAATGCTTCAATAGTTTACTAACTGTCAGCTGAATGATAGAAGAAGTATGTTACCAAAAATATCCTCTAAGTGTAACTTCCTCACTAGCCACAGCTTTATTTAAGCAATGAAGCAATGCCAGCCATTCCTACTATCATTCCTTAGGCATCTTCCTAATGGAAGGTTCTATCAGCTTTAATTCTTAGTGAGTGACAAAGGGCATCCTTCCAAACCAACGGTAGCTCAGTGACCTGGAGCTGTGGAACACTATCAGTAGAAAGAAAAGTCTCAGAGAACCTGTAACAAGACAACTGCAAGCAGCCAACAATGGTTCACCCTTTACAGATAATTCTTTCTTAAAACCCATTTTGTGTGAGGTCAGCAATCCTGCTGGATTTTCTCCAGAAGTTTGTAAAATTAACAAGCGTAGCACTTCTGACCATTTTAAGTCATGTAACATCATGTGGATCCAGTTTTCTAAGGTTATTTTCCAATAAAGGAATATTCAGTCCTCACTCTCTTCATCTGAGTGCCAAAGTGCCTTTACACTGTGGCCCCAGCAACATGGCAGACCCTAAAACAGAGTTATTCTGTGACGCCCCTCTACCTCCAGGACAGCTCAAAGACTATATGAAGGTGAGGACAGAGCGGCTGTACAACTGCCTGTTCCCAGCTGTGTAGACTTGCCTCCCTGACCAGAAAATTGAGCAATAGGCCTTTAGCATACTTCTTGATGAACTCCTTTCTTCTTAAATTCAGTGAGCCAGTGGAGATAAGGAAAGACTGACCATGTTCCATCTTTTTAAATAAGAGTCTGAAGCCCTGTGTTTGTACAGAGAGTCACACAGCATCCATTTGGGTTCTTAATGCATAACAGAAAAGGGAGAAAAGGTATCTAACAGTTTGCATTACTGATTTTCTGTAAGCAGTGCTCATACCCTGTCCCTGGGGCTGGTTCCCCACACCACACGGCTCTGTTTTCCAATTAATTAGACACAGAAATAGGCTAGATCACTGGTCATTGCAGTATGACTCTCCCTGCCCCACCCCATCAGCCAGCAGGAACTTCAGGCAAAAAATGTATTCATATGCAGAGGTCATGAGTCTGAAATATGAACATTAAAATTAAATGTTCCAAGGTTATATTGAATGGCTATCGTGACTACCTTCTAAGACTTTGATGAAGAATTAAATTACTGGGCTAAAACATAATTTTTTAATAAATAATATGCACATGGGTCACCTCTTTTTGTGCCCAGAGTCCTGTTGCTCCCAAAGTGGGAGCAGTTACCAGATGTTCCCAGTTTACTGTAGGTCTGCTTGTATAATGCAACTTACAAATCTGCCTCAGCAATAGCACACATCCGCATTTGGATAGTGGCACATGGTGAAATTGTAATACAGCCAAGGGCAAACCACTGAAATTGTTCTGCTAATTAGTTGAAATGCTCTGAGTGTAGCTGCATTAATATAAAGGGCTAGCATCAGGGAAATATTTCACTCTCTGAAATTAATGAGTAATTTCTGAAGCTGTTGGCAGCTACTCACAGTTACACAAAGGACAGGTTTCACCCTTTTCTGAATAACACTAAGTAATAAGCTATTTCTGTGCTGGAAAGAACCCCCAACAATCAGGGTATTTGGCTGTGAAGGAAAAAATGGGACCATAAGTATCCTTTCAGCAACTCTGTCCAGAGTTATCAAAGTGTTCTTTAAAATCTTGCCATCATAGTCCCTTTTTAACATGCACTTTGAGGAGCTGCGGCCCAGAGTGGCAATGTGACTCATTCCAGGCCACCTGAAGAGTCAGTGGGAAACTGGAAATAGAATTTGAGTATTGGATGAGAGCTGTGTTTTATAATTGCAGCTTATTCTGCCCTCCATTCAAAGAGAAAAAAAAAATGGCTTGCTGCTGTTTCTGCTTGTCTCTAGTAATCAAAAGTATATTCTCCCAATGTTCATAGTCAAGAGCAGCCGGCAAGTATCTGAAGAAAAGTCATGATATGGAAAATAATAATAGGTTGTTTTCCTTGAAAATGAAGGGAATTAAGTTAAACTGAAGCTTTCATCCCAGTTTCCCCCTACTTTTTCAAAATGGGTATAATACGTAATAGGACTAGGCAGTTACTACAGAGCAACTTCAAAATGCAGTTTAAATAAAAAGTGGATATCAAAGCCAGCAATGTGTTGATGTAAAATAAGATACCGATCATACTTAATAAAAGATGAACATTGCTTCATGACCGTTCCATCTTAAGCTCATTTACTAGAAAACCAAGCAAGTGCTCTACACAGGTGCCAGAGCTGGTGGAGAAATTAGGTTTATAAACAAATGGTCATGGATAAAAGCAGTAGACCTTTCCTCCAGTGTCTCACAAATATGCCCTTAGGAAAATAAATAAAAATGAGCCTCAGTGACCAAACAGTTTCTAACACTGAAGCTCCTGCTACCTCATTTTGCATACGGTTGTCCAGTAAGCAGCTTTCAAACAAATTTTAAGTAACTGTTTAGGCCAGTGATTTAAAGGTTAAAGTGTTTTCATGCATTATGTATGCTTGCATAAACTGATCTCCCTCCCAGACAGTCCTTTTTTACTTATCAAATAGCATCTTTGGCATGGAAGTTGTTCAGAGAACATAAATGTCACAAAATGCTGTTTATACACAAACTTGGAAGCTCCCACTTACACTTGTCTACCTGAAAATTTTGAAGCCAGGTTACTTCAAAGCCGTGCTTGGCTGATATTAAAATTCTGTTGAAAGAGACAGTTCATGATCACTGCAAACTTCAGTAACAGACACAAAGCTCACTTTGCTATACAGGCCTCCCCAAGGTGAGAGACTTAACAATTTCATCTGGCAAGGTTTATTGCATTTGAAACCACTGAACAAACTGAATTCTTTTAGCATCAGAGAAAAAATGAGCTACAGTTATGGAATGTAGATATTCTTTTTGGAAATAATGGGTGCTGCATTTTATTCATAAATGCATATCTATATTCCAACTGGTAAATGTATAGGAATAAAAATCTACCAACTGGTGCACCTTCTTTCTCTTTGCTCTTTGCTTCTTGGATGTTTCTGACAATGTGTTCACCTATCTTATCTCATGCCCTTGCCATAATTCAAAATGTGATTTATAGTCCAGAAACTACAATGGTTGTGATAATGCTAAACTTTTCTTTCCCCAAGGTTTTATATTCTTGTAGCAAATATGTTTTGCTGTCAAAGACACTGAGGATGGACACTATTAATATCTTAAAACCAAAATAAATCTTATACCATTGTTGTTTCTATAAATTTAATAGAACCTACTTTGTTTCAATCAGCCAAAATTAGTCAGAGCCACTCAAACCTCCTAGATTCTGTATCAGTGAGGCATTTAAAACATGACTTACTGGGCTGGTTTTGTTTAAAACACATTCACATTCTCAAGCATGATTCAGGCAGGCATTCATATTCAGGCTTAAGGCACAGGAGTAGGACTCATTGATGTCTTCTATACTTAAGCACAGAGACTAATGGTAATTTTTATTTCACTTCTCTGCCTTTCTGTCCATAGTCACTTTGGGAGCTGGTCATCATTACAGATACCTGCACAATACTTCTTGTCATAAATAATACAAAGTTATACCTCCAGAAAAGTACTAAATGTCAATGTAGCATTCAGTAAAAAATTGTAGATCTTTGTAAATCTTTTAATTAAAATAGTGTCCTAAAGTAATACGAGAGCCTATGATGGGATGAACAGGAAACAAAAGCTTTCCCTTGAGACCAGATAAAAAAGACACTGTATATTGTGCTGGAAGAAAACTAAAGGTTTTGAGGAATTTTTTTGAGGTAGTGAAATACCTGAGAGCAGGTGAATGTACACACGGCTCTGAAAAGGATGTATATGTGTTAGAAAGTGTTAAAGAACTTAATTTCATATTGTAGATTATGTCATAGTCTAGATAGAGTTTTTCTGAAGTTAGTGACTCCCAAGGCCTGAGTCAGGGTCATACAGAATGACTAACTGAAATTGACCTATAGTTAGCAAAGGCCAAATCAAGGCTAGCGAGTCAACACATTTTTCACCTGGACATCTTTTCAGGTGACTACTATGAGTGTCTAAGCAGGGGCTTTGCCTCTGAAGCTTTTTCAAAGCATCAGCTAGTGGCATAACTGATGTTGAGGTGTCTGGAGAGGATACCTGATCATGAAAGCCACATGTGCTTATATTGGAAAGTAGTACAGATAACAGGAAACGTGTTTAAAGTTTAGAGTACATTCAAAGTCCACATTTCCTACTTCCTGTCAGCATTGCTTTCATCTTGGTTGTGGGTTTTTGCAGCAACTTTTTTTGTTGTTGTTGTTTCTTCGTTTGGGGTTTTGTTTACAATTAATTACAATTAATTATTAATCATTGAAGAAGAAGATTGAGGCCCAGGCAATAATCTGTCTTTTGCCTTTTTCAGGGACTTTCTGAGATTTTTAATGGGGAGGGTTATTCATGTGAATCGCTGTAGTTTATATCAAACACTACAAATCAGAGGTGGGCATTCCTTCATAAACATAAAGTAGTCAAAAGTAATACACAGGTACTTTTTTCTCTCCAGAGTGCTGTTTGTGGGAAGTAATTTTACTATAAGGCATAATTTCAGTTATCCCCTGTCATTTCAAACACTCTGTATCGTTGCAAAATATCACTTTAACTGTAAATAGAAGGATTATCTTACAGTTATGTTGGTTTTAGAGCAGGATCTGTCTTGAGACATATTTGAGTGAGAGCTTTATTTTTCTTCCTGAGCCATTGAGGAATTCTGTTTTTTTTTTTCTACCAGAAGGCTTGCCATTCATAACAAATGATGAAGTATCAGTCCGAAGGGGGAATGAAAATACTTCTATTTCTCAGGAATGAAGAGAAATGATATGAAGTACCAGCAGCCAAATAACCAACATCCTATAGATTTCATTCTAGGACTGGTTATATTTTTTCAGGATATTTCACACTAAGTAATTCTGATTATATTTATTATGACTAAGTCAATATAAAATGTGATGCTTTTTATGAATTAAAAAGGCTGTTTCCATTAAGGTTACACCCGAAGTTTGTAAGAGAGTTTGTATTCCCTTACTCAGAAGGAAAATAGCAGTGGAGGACTCCCAAGGAAGCAGCAGTGTGTAAACATTTTCAAAAGTCAGGTCAGAACCTTGCAGCAAAATTTCTTATCTCTGCCCTCCCTCCTTTTTAATATTTTGAGCACAAGATTTTTCACGAGAGCAGTACTGCTGTGCAAAAGACCATGTTTCCCTCATTGGTTTTTAGGTTGTTTTTTTGGAATTTCTTTTTCCCTGGATTTAGTATCTTTTCTGCTTCACGTTTTTCTTCAAAAATTTCTTCATTGTCTCCTTTTTCTCTCACCCCTCCCTGTAACCTAACCGGAGTCAGAAAAAGGAAGAGATAAAGAAAAGCTCATTGAGAGGCACGGGAATGTCACTTTTATAAAAATGAATAGAAACAGCTGAGGAGAATTTTGTTTACAAAATACTACTGCCTCTACTGATGTTATTTTTCATACTACCAAATGAAATTAATGAATTCTTTGGATTCAGTTTGGATTTCTGGGGATTTTTGTTTGTTTCCAAAGATTTGTCTGCGACATGGAAAAATGATGTTGCATACAACTAAATCTGGTTTCTCTCTGCAGGCATCACCACTGTGTTGACCATGACAACTTTGAGCACCATTGCAAGAAAGTCATTACCCCGTGTGTCCTATGTCACTGCGATGGATTTGTTTGTTACTGTATGCTTTCTATTTGTGTTTGCTGCTCTGATGGAGTATGCAGCCCTCAACTACTACTCAAGTTGCAGGAAACCAAACTGTACTAAGAAGAAAAAGTCGGTAAGATGGTCGCATTAAATTTCTTTTCTAATATGTGCATGGCTCAGAGAACAGATAACCATTCAATGACAGCCTGTGATCCCGTGATACTCTGCTGCTCCGAGCTCTTCTCAGTTTGTTGTGTGATCTGCCCTGAAAGCTGGTAGAAAATAGTTACCCACAGTAACAGCAGAATCAGTTATATGCCAATTGAGTGAGGTCTGTTCCTAAATGAAGCAACCTGCTGACCATGAGGCAGCAACCCTGCCTACAAGTCTTTTATCCGGAAGTCATAAAGGGCTCCCACCGAAAGAGATTGCATCGCTTGTTATACAGACACATGCAGATCAATGTATATTCAAATGCATCCGCTATTTCATGGCTTAAGAGGTCTAGAAATATTTATGAACTTTGCAAACAGCATTTCAATATCTCCACTGGGAACCAGCACTTATTTTTAGCCCTATACACAAAGGAGCTTATTCCCAAGTGTAGAAACAGAGGCCACTTAAGAAGATTTTATAAGTAACTGCATTTTGGGCCAAAAAGACACTTCCAGGAGTAACACCCAGACACCCCCAAAATGCTGTTTATTTAGAATCAGTTAAAACAATCATGCAGAAAGAATTGCCTGGTGTACTTTAAAATTGACTACGAGAGTGAGAGGGGACAGGATAATGGAGAAAAAAGTCTCAGTGAAAACATAGGGAAGGGGAAGCGAGTTGTCCACTCAAGAGCAGTGGAATCTATTATGTGTTTGAGATCAGTAATGGGAGACGTTGGATGCCATTTTGTGTAATGGAGGAAATAAGGACATTTGAATCAGGAAAAATGTGAAGGTGGAAATCGAAGAGAGAGAAGGCTAATTTCAGGGAATAGGTCATGAAGTAAAAGGGGTTGAATGAAGAGCTGTACAAAGGAATTGAATGAAGAACTAATGAAGGAAAGCTGAAATAAATGTGGAATTAGAGAAAGCCTAGAAAACCATTGATTTAGTCAATGAAATCTACATTAAACCTCTAACAGGTTCATGTAAAAATGCATTGCACACAAAAGGTAAAAGACTGTTACCAAAAGTATGAGACCATCAAAATGAACTTGCTAATGATGAAACTAAAATTATAGAAAGACTGAATGAAAAAGTCATGAGCCTCTTTGTGAGCAGGATGTATTCCTAGACATGTGAATGATGAGGGAAAGCATACAACACTGACAAGATTTAAATTAACATAAGAATCAATACATACTTAGCTATTGTTTGCTAAATAATAAATCTAATGAGTAGAATAAGGATTTAAAATGGGTGGAAACTAAGTGTGCATTCTGCTGAAGTTTCATGAAGTTTTTAAGTGTATAGATATTACCCTGAATATCTGATACCCTGATAATACCCTGAAATTTGTTTTATGGACAAATGCATCTAAACGTTTGGTTTAAAGAATGTTATTGAACATTAGATGCACATGAAGCAATTTTTCCTTCTGAATAATTCTTTTGTTATGTTTATTTAAGCTACCTGATGTCAGTTTTGGCCATGTGATGGTAAGTAAATTATTTTATTCAGTGAAAGCAATGGAGGCATGAATTTATGGTTGACATTTACTTGCAGTAATTCCTGAGAAAGCTGTAATGCTATGTTGTGCTTTACCCTGACTTTTCTGTAAATTGCTTTGCTTTTTTGTTAAAAGGTCAGTTTGGTTTTGGCTGTGGCAGAGGAACATAGCTGCCTCTTTCGATAAGGACTTATCAAATGATTTGGGAGGGGGAAGGGTCAAGTGTAGAATATTGTCTGTTCTTCTTACCCCAGAAATTCTGTGTGTCTGCTTTATACGATACCACAGTTTCTCACTACGTTTTATAAAAAATGTAATAAGCATAAGTTTTGTCACAAACTTATATGGAGTTTTAACTAAGGTTCATGACAAATAATTCAGTTATGCGTATCTGTAAAATCTTTAGTAAGCTTTCAGGTGGATTTTCAAATTATGTAGGCACACAACTTTAACACAGTTAGTTGTACTATATCTATAAATGAAATAAATTCTATTCCTGAAACCTCTGTATAACTGTATGTATACATACAGAAGTGATAAAATTGAAACTGAGCACAAAATTGTGTCTCCAAGTTGCATGAAATGTGAAACTGTAATATATACTAATATATATACAAGCATATAGATGGCCATTTATTTAGCTGCTTGGGTGGCCTGATTCCCAGCTATCAGATCCAAATAAGAACAGGGACAGAACAGAAACATTGGTTTTTCATTTCTTGGTTGGAGTATACTGCAATTTTTCATTTACAACTACTTGCTTCATAACAAATAATGTTACAGACTTTGTTTTCAGTTTTGGTTGTTTTTTTTACCATGAGTTTTCTGATGTATTTAAAGAGCTCTATAGCACTGAAAATCTGCTTATTGACAATGAGTGGTTTTACAGCAAGTATTGCATTTGTACACTCACTACTGCTGTCACTCCATGGACAGACTTATCTGAAAGATTAAGTTAATAAGGCACATTGACTGGGTAGTGGTACTTCCCTTTTTCCAATTAAAAAAAAAAAAGATACGCAATTAAAATGACACTAGGGTTTAACACTTAGTCTTTGTTTAGATCTAGTCAATTTGATCTCCTTGGAAGGTATCTGCAGCCTTTGCAAATCCTTCCCCTTCCCTTTCCCCTTTCTTTCCCCCTCTTTCTCTCCCTCTCCCTCTTTTTCCTTTTCCTTCTCCCTTTTCCTTCTCCCTTTCCCTATCCCTCTCCAAACCCTCTTCTTTCTCCTTTTCCCTCCGCTCTCTTTCTGTATCCTTCTCCCTCTTCCTCTTCCTCTTCCTCTTCCTCTTCCTCTATCTTTTTTTTTCAGTATAAGACAGATACTGAGCAGGGCCCTGTCCTATACATAAACAACTTCTGTGTTCAAGCTGTAGCTCAACCTGCATGTGTGTCTCTGACCCTCAAGATATCATCTTTTCTTTTCCAGCCTTGTAGTGATGCCACCTAAAAGGTGAAATTTATTAATCTTAGTAAATCCATATTCAGGTAATCCCATCCCTTGTTTTAATCCTAGAGGAACCTCCACACTTATATTTTGTCTGAAATAATTTTATTTCAGTGCTAGGTACTAGGATGGTGCCCACTGTCTGTGGACCCCTTTCCTCCCAACCCCAGCTCAGCAGGTCACACAGGACACTTCACTTACCAAAATCATCTTCACTTACCAAAATCATCTGGTGAGGTCTAACCTAACCTTACTATTTTTAACATAAATATTGTAGCCAAGCATAGAAAATTTCAGTCCCTGGGTAGAAAACTTTCATAAAGGGCTGAAATAAATGAACAGTATGTGTCACAGTGGTATAGCAGAACTCCATGTACTCTTTAGTCATAGCTTTTTCTCTCTCCAAAGTGCTAGTAAAAAAATGATTGCTTGTACAGAAATCTTAGCCTTTTTCCATGTACAGCACACTGTAAACCTCTGAAACCAGCCACCTGAAACTTTACAAATGAGAGAGAAGACCATAAGGGTGTAATTTCTGTCATCTAATCTCAGATATAAAGTCATTCACAACAAATAGATTTGGAATAAGCTGCTTCTAAATAGCAATATGTTTACAGTCCACAGCACAATGCACCTGAGAGATTTTAGCCATTTACTTATGATGAGATGAATTGAGTCCTAGAAGTAATTGGCTGGATACCATAGGGCAGTTGTTCAGATGTGGTTAATTGCGTTGGAGATGCCAACATCTAAGCAGAAGGATGCCACAACAAATTCTTAGCTCAGGGACCAGCATTTTTAATGAGATGGGTAATACTATTGTGCGCCAAATGAAGGGCTTGTAGAAAGAAAATGAAGTCAACGGAAAAAGGAAAATTTCCACCAAGGCACATCAGTCCTATCTCTGATCTGTTTTACATCCAGAGTGAAAGTTTTCAGATACACCCCAACACCTTCAACAGGAAATGTTGAGTACTTTGTATAGTAAGTGTGGAAGCAAGGGCCCAGATCGTCCTCCAGAATGCAAGCAGGCATGAAGCAGAGGTATGACTAGCTTGTTAATGGATGCCCAGCATGCTTCTGCAGGCACATGCAATGCTCAGTGCAATCATAGGGAGAGGAAGGTCCCCTGAGGTGGAAAAAACTGCACTGGCAGGGCTGAAGTCTGCTTTGTCAGGCAGTGAATCTGATGGGACCTTTCCTAGTGATGCCAGCAGAGGAGGTGACATTTGTGAGGATGGAACGGGTGGCTTGATGAGAGAGGAGACTGTTGTAAGAATGCACCTTTCATGAAAAGGAAATGGTGTGACAGAAAAGCTGACAAAGTGCAAATAGGGTATACACTGAAGAAGGAAAAGTCTGTAGGAGTGAGTGATGCTGTGAGGATGCGTGCTATCAGTGTCCTATTTCTGAGGATGGTTAGTGCCACAAGCACTAAGGGGAGAATGCCTAGGGATGGCATTTTGAAATCCTCTACTGAAATAATCACTATCTGTTACTGACCATATCTGTTTTTATAAATTATGGTAAAGTTCAAAGGCAGTAAATGGAACTACACTAGGTGGAGATTGTTCTTTAATTAAATGATGAGGGGAGACATTCCTTATTTTTCAGAATCCACTCTTAAATGTAGTAGCTACAAGTGGTTAAGGAAACTTGAAAATAGCATTCTGACAGGCAAATGAACTCTTAAGTGTGAAAAAAAATGATTGAGTTACCCAAGTAGGAAATACACCTAGAATTATTTAACTTTCTACTCCTTAATGTCTCGATGGAAATTTCAGCTGAAAAGCCATCTTTTGAGGGAAAGATGCTCCCTCGATCTAGAATTCCTACAGTATCAACCTCTTATTCTCAGCTCCTGTGATTTTTTTCTTGTGATTCTTAATTTTGATCTGCATTATCCATGGAAGATTATTAAACTGCTGGTTTCTTTTTCTCTCCTCAGAATTATTCTGTACTTGATATGAGACCACCAACTACAGTCATCACATTGAACAATGCCATGTATTGGCAAGAATTTGAAGATGCGTGTGTCTATGAATGTCTGGATGGGAAAGACTGCCAGAGCTTTTTCTGTTGTTACGAAGAGTGTAGATCAGGCTCATGGAGGAGAGGACGGATTCACATAGACATCTTAGAACTGGACTCTTACTCTAGGGTCTTTTTTCCTACATCCTTCCTGCTGTTTAACCTGGTCTACTGGGTTGGATACCTCTATCTTTAAATGTTGCCTGTAGTGGTGAAGACTACTATGTTTTCACACTGCGGAGGGATGGTGAAAGTGGAGAAAAAGTGAAGGACACTGTCAGTTTCATCTCAAATTATAAAAGCTACATTAACCTTCACCATCACAAAGCCCAATGAAGAATTTTAAGATGTAATTGCCTGAAAAAGAAAAGCGTGGAAGAATTTCTCTCCTTACTGCTGTTCATTTTAAAGAAAAGATCCTTACAAAATTCAATTGAATTTGTAGTGTAAGCGATGTTTATGAATAACTATTGTATATTAGAATGTCTACTGTTCTCCCTTGGCATAGAAGTTATATACAGTTCAGGCAAAGGTTAAAAATGTAATTTTTGGTTTTCATTCCCATACCTTCTTCAGAATGCTGCCGTATTCCTGAGGCTCAGAGCAACATGCACTGGCATTGGCAAATAAGCCAAAGCTGGTGAAACCATTCATTTGTATTTAATCTTGCTTGAGCTATGTCCCATAGATTTTGGGAAATGTTTCATTGGTGATCTCCTTGCTATAGAGAAACCACCAAATGACAGTAGGAAATGTGTCTGGTGGGATCAAAACATGGATGTCACTTTCTTCAAAGATCTGGGATTCATGGAATTAACCACTTACCTACACGTATTGGTTTTAACTTAAGGTGAAAAGGTAGAGTTATGAGAAAGCTATTATTTTGATATAAATAAAAGACTTGCCTATCACTGAGGCAGCTGTAGGCATAACTTCTAAAATTTTTCAAGCTTTTAACTGTCTTTTTTATGACTGGTTAAACACAGGATGGTCATTGATTTTTAACGTACTTGAAGCAGGACAAGATTCCTGCTTGTTTGTGTCATTGTAGCAGATCATAGTTGATAGGCCATGAGTAAAAATCACTATATAATAGCACTAGGAATATGTGACTTTCTTCAGATTACAATTTGCTAAGAAGTGCTCTCATGCATTCTTATTTTTTCTCTCAAAGTTATTTTACAAAATTGAAAAACATGTGTGCCAAAGGACATTTTTTGTTCCTTCCATAAAATTAAATATTACAGTCCTTACTCACAGCAGTTGTTCTCTGGGTCTGAGCTGAAGACTGAACACTTTTCATTTCACTTAAAAAGGGCATTATGAGAATTCACTTGGAATAATCATGGAATACTAACCACATGTAGGAAAATGTCGTTTTCACTTTTTCCTTAACTACCAACTAACCTAAAAAGCTGTTTTGTATTTTCTAAGCTTTCAAGCATTAAATTCTTAAACTACCCATTTTTCAAAAACTAGTTTTACAGTGTTAAACTAGATTACATCTTTTACAGACAGTCTTAATGATTGTTATTAAGCAAACAAAGCAGATTCAAAACTAAATAGCAATGGCTTGTTACTACCATTTGTATGACAAATGGTTACAAATGACTAGAGTTAAAACATACCTAAACCCAACATTCTTAATTTTTTTCCACTTCTGAAGGACCTGATAATTTTTGTATCTTCTCAGAAAAATGTGTGTCTCTTTCACACAGTATTTGATAAAAAACGAGTAGCAGATGTGATCAAAGAGCAGTTCTTTCTCTCATCAGAAGGAAAATCCTGCAAACAAGCAAAAACTAATGCAGTGGTAATTCTAAAAGAACAGAAATTCTGTTGTGTTCTTTGAAACATCAGTGTCTGTTATTGCTGTTGCTCTGTGCTTCCAGTGAGGTTGAATTGAAAAATGATTACGCTAAAGTTAATTGTAGTTATTCAAAATACATCCTTCTGTTTTTCCCTTGTCTAAAATACCAGACAGAAATTTATTTAAGTGGGGTAGTCCTTTCTAAGGACCAAAAAAATTCGAATTAGAAGCGCAGAGAATAAATACTTGGGTTGGGTTTATTAGCAAAATCTGCCCCATCTGATGTCTTCTAAATCCATGATAACCTTCTAATTTAAAAATACATGTTTAAGATTTTGCTAACTCTCAGTAGCAAGTTACTGTGTAAAATCTATTACCCTGTAAACCTCTGCATCCTGCACTTGGAAGTATGCATTTTATTTAAGAATGTGGGTTATATTTTCATCAGTGCAAGAAGGTCATAGAATTGAAGTTGAATATTCTGGTCTCTATTTATGAATTAGTCTACTCTAACAACCACCTTCAGCCATATTTTGAAAGAATACTAGAAATATTTCAAAACTAAATAAAAGGATTGAATCGTATCCTTTAGGGACCTGATCCTGCAAACCCTCTGCACAATCAGTTGATTTTGGTGAAAGTATTGAAACAGATGAGACACCAGAAGATACTTTCCACCATTAGGTCTTGAAAAGCTAATGCGAGGTTTATTTAATAGTTGCATACTTGAGTGAATGTCCTGGGAGTAAGTGTGGAAGTGGAATGTTCTCATTTTAAATGATGAGCATATACTTTTCTTACACTTCTGCTCATGGCTATCTGTTCTTGCTAAAAGCATGCAATCCCATCAGATCCTTCCTTGGAAGACTGATTCTGCTAAGTCTATTCATACTGCCTCTGTTTTGTGGGTGCTTTCATAAACAGAAGTTGGAAGTATATAGTTCTATTTGCCGTGGTCCTAACGAAGAAAGAATGTGCAGACACTGCAGGCTTCTGCTCTTTTACTGGCAGCAGAGGACATAGTCTACAGTGTAATACATTCTATTCTAGGGTCATGTGCAAAAAATTGATATATATGGAAGGTGAGCAGCTACAGGCTGGCAGGTTCCAGAATGCATTCCTCTGCTTATTCCTAGTTGCTTGGTTTACTCTCTCTGCTTCACTGCTCTGTCTTTGGCAGCCACTGAAAAACCAGAGATCAGGGAAGATAAGCTTTCTAGGCTCTGCATCATTCAAAATGCTGTTATTCTAGACACCTAGATAATGTGGTCTGCATATATCTATGTGCCATATCCTTCTGTAATAGTAAGAATGTCCTTATTAACCTCCAGATATTCTTTTGCAAATTGAAAAAAGTCAACAGTTCTGTGCACTGTGCACCAAGAAATGCAAGAACCACCTGTTAGCATTTTGGAACATTTTCTTCTAAGATAATTTCATTTTCAAGACTTACATTTATTCAATTACTTCTTTTTGTTATTTAGTACTTTTTTTTAGCCTTTCAAGGAAGGGAAGGAATAGAGAAAGACAAAATGGAATTACTAGTAGAATGAATGAATTTGGATATGGACGTAAAACCACAAATCAAGTGTCTTCACATTAGACTCCTTCCTGTTTGAAGTTACAGAAAAGATTGTGAAGGATTTGTTTAGCTAACCAGCTTTCCTAGGAAGATCTAAAGTCAAACCTCTTATTCTCGCTCTTCAATTAAAAGTTGATGGACAATGTTTTCCATCATTGAGAGCAGCATTTTCAAGATAGTGAAAAATTTATAAAAATATTGGTCTGCTTAATTTAGTCTTTTCAGTTCTCCCGGCCTGATGCCTAGCGTATTGACAACTTCTTCCTTTACAGTGATTCTTCCAAGAATAAGTGTATGAAAACTTGCAGCTAGTTTATGCTGTGTCCATTTCCAGCAGTAATGTGGAACTGGAGTACACCACACACCACACAATTTTAATGTAACTTTCTAATCAAGAAGTACGGTTGTAGATTACAAAACACCTCAGGCACTTTGATAACTTTTCTTCTCTTTCAGATGCTAATTTTCTCCTCCACTGATTCTCACCTGCATGTTGGCGTATTGTACATACCAATAAAAATGCTAAAAATCACAGCAGGAAGAATCAAAAAAGCCAGAACTGTCTTCATAGAGACAGCAATGAGTAGTGAAGCTAAAAGAGGAGGCAGAAATTATTTCTTATTGCTGTGCAGTTCTTATCTGTCCTACTCCTCTTATTCTTCCCACGCACTACCCACAGCTAATTCCAAATCATCCAACTGGTGGTTTGTGCATTCATCAGCTGGAACAGCAGTGACACATGAGCCTTTAGCTGATAGGAAATGATATTTCTGGAACTGGAGGCATCATGCCAAATAGCTCAGATAGATAGATAGCTATCTCAAACGCTTTTGCAGCCCTAATGTGTCTCAGTCTAGCACCTCATGTTGCTGCATGAATTTATCACAGCTCGCCTTACTTGATCATTTCATGAAGGGAAGGATGCTTGCCTCCTTTTTACACCAAATTTCACCATACATCTAGGAAAGTGGCTCTGCCCAGCCCGTGCTCCAAGTGATCAAGTGCAGCTCTGAAAAGACCTAGTTGCTGTACTGCTTTGTGGGCAGGGGGAACTCCATATCTAAGACAGATTTCACTAGCCTAACAATCTGGAAGGTTGATGTTACCTTCTAAGCTGTAAAACAAAGCACCCACTACAATTTATAAGGGCTGTCCATAACAGACTGTACTTTCCCCATTGGCTGCTCTTACTGGGTTTCCATAAAGCACTAAGAAAAGGCAAGCCATACCCCACAATCTTAGCTGCCTACCCAATTAAATTACTTTTTTCAAGGGATATTCTTCTTCTTCTTGCTTACAGTGAAATCTTTGTGCCTCTTATACTAGTGCCTTTAGCTTTTCTTGATATCGAAGGATATATTATTCCCAGCCTAAGAGTTAGAAAAAGGGACAATGACCTTGCTGGACTTCTTCCTGAGCACTACAGTGAGTGACCAATATTCAAGATGTCTTCAACTTAAACACTGAGTGTTTACCTTGAGCATTTGTCCAATTTTTATTTATTTTTTTAAGCAGTCTGTAGGTTTCTTAATTTCCACGTAGCAAGGAAACTCCAGTGGTATTTCAGCAGTTTAGCAGAATCCTTCCTTCTTCACTTAGCAGCTTCATTCCACCAAGAGATGCAGAGCATATACTCAAGGCTAATGTTTACTTCATCCAGGTCACTTCACAGAAGACTGTTTAAAACAGGCAGAAAAAGAAACTATGCATTGGGAATGCATTTCCACAGCTGAAAGGTGAAGTTCTTGTTCCTTTATGGATTTACTTTTTTTCCTGAGTTAATTTTACAATCTTCCTCCCTCTC